GGGTGGGATGGAGGTTGGGACAAATTGAGGGTATGGAGGGGATGGGTGGAAGGGGAGGAGAGAGGGGAGGGGTTGGGGGTCGGGAGAGAATGGAGATGGGGATGGGGTAAAAAAAAACCTTTGGACGAATTCAGTAGTAATCCCAGCTTAAGAGTGAAATGAGACCCCCAGTCTATGTTTTCAGCACAACGGTGAGACAAGCCTTTACCTTAATTGTCACATGTCGGTCACGTTTATGGCTAGACTCTGCATCATGATGGAGATTGATTGGGCGTGTTCTGAGAAGAAAACCAGACTCTATTGTAAAGACTGCCCTCCACTGGACACCCGAAGGTCATCGCAAGAGGGGCAGACCCAAAGGGACCTGGAGACGCACAGTAGAGTCTGAAATGAAGTCCTGGAGGCATTCGTTAGGGACGTTGACCAAGATGGCCCAAAACAGACAGAGCTGGAGATCCTTTGTTGCTGCCCTAAACGCCAGATGGCGTAACGGGTAGTAAGGAAGTATTCTTGTTTTCCTCGTTTATCATAAATATCTGCTCTCCTGTAATACTACAGTAACATCCATACACATTCAATCTTCATTTTTACAGAATATTTTGATGCTTAAATCAAGCTTGTTACTTGAAACCTGTCTTTTTACGGTGCAAATATTAATGATTGAAACTCATTTTCATTGATATTTTTAGTTTTAGTAGAGGTTTTGCGGCTCTCGCAACTGCATACGGTTATATGAGTGCCAGAAGGTTAGAGGTATTACAAGAGAGTAACAAACGTAAAAAACAAGAAGGGGAGATAAGGACGATAGATATTTGATAGGAAAGAAGAAGCAAACCACACCAGAGCACCCGCCAACCACCCACCATTGATATTTGTTGCAACAAAATAGGGATAGGTCAGCGCCTTTTTCAAGTAAGGAGACCACGGTACTTTATCCCAAGGATTCCTCTAAAGCTGTCCCTCTCATAAACCTAATTTCCAAATATTTGTCCAGCTAATGTCTCCTGTGTTGGAAAGTCATACGACATACGTTGCAAGAGGGCAATCCGTTTCAGGCAAATAACTTTAGCTGTGCATTTCACTATGGGGGTAAAAAAAATGCAGCAAAGATGACTTTGGTGTCGTAAAAATTATTTTTTAGAAATCCTTCCTTCATAACATACTAAACTCAGCATGAACCGGAAAGGAAGAAATTTGTTTCATATACTGTTGAAAATACAAGTAATAATTTAATATCGAAATAGTCACATATCGATACCAAATTATTTCAGAATCGCACGCCATATTTCACCAAAGATAGTAAATAACAAGATGGGCCACTCAGCCAAAAAAGTGTCCGCAGGAAGTATGCTCTTTGCTTCAGATGGCGCTGCAGTCTGTTTTGAAGCTCTCTTTCGTTTTTTCCAGAAGAAGAATAGGAATAGCACCTCCTTGCGTGCGCAGATCGACTGCTGTTCATCAGCAGTTCGGGTACGTTCAGTGCGGAGTTTTAGTTTTTTAAATATTTTAATGACCTCTCGCCTTTCATTTTAAAGTCAAATTAAACGAAGAAAACCATCACCCTTTCCTCCGGAAGAGGTTTTTTGTCAGTGTAACCATTAAAAAAAAGCGTTCTTCCGAAATTTATCCCAAAACTTGCTAGTTTCACTTTGATTTTTAAAAACTCAAGTAGGGTAACTCTGTTCGCAAAGAGTGCGCTTTTGTGAAGAGGGCGCCACCAAATTTTGAGGACACTTTTTTAATTGGCTCAAAGAGAGAAGTGGCCCAACTTGGTATGTACTATCTTTGATTTCACCACCAACACATTATGTTTTCTTTCTCCAGCCTCCTTTTGCGCACTCACGGTGAATATTTAAAAAGACGAGGGAATGATACACATAATATTACTGATTATTCAAGATGTTTTTTTTTCTAAAAGGGCCCCTTCAGCGGGGTAAAAGGATCACCCTTGTCTATACATGTGTGAAGAAATTAATGATGACTTGCTCTCATGATGCAGGCTGTGTGGGCGTGTCCACCACACTTATCAACAACCCGTTTTTTTGAGACGACTGATCATTGTTGATTAAAACGACGCAGGTCTGGTAAACTCAGTATTTTTTTTTTGTCGGTCATTTACTGTCCAAAATCCATTTGTAAATGAATTTAACACTGTGCGACTTAATGTTGAGGTGCTAAATGATTTGGGGTGTTAAATATGACATGTATCACTTGTTGCCATATTGTGATGGCGGTCATTTTGAAGATAAATACACGTCTTTAAATTCCCCAAATCCTCAAAACTAATATAATGAAGGTACTTCACTTTATGAGATAAGAATGGAAAGACAGGACCTATACTGAGGTAATAATGGCCACGGTACATTATTGTGTTTGATTTGCGTGTTTTCATAGATTACGTAGCATGCCTTTGTACTTCATGATGTAAAAAAGAAAATGTTGAAAATCCCCCCCCCCCCTGCAAATCTGATATAAATATTAACTGATCTCGTCATAAAAACAAACAAACCCAACAACCATAACCAGTCCATCAAACATGAATAAGCTATTTATTTCTGTGATAAATTTCAAGTCTCAGGGGCAATTATAGTATCGGTAATTCAGATTTTAGGATTTTCGTGGTGTGCTATCCATGGAAAACACGATTTAGAGAAAATGGCCGTTAAGGTTGAAAATACGTACACGGGATTCCATATCTTGAAACTTCCAGGTATTCAAGGGGGCAAAAACCTAAAAAAACAAAACAAAACAAAACTAACAAAAACAAACAAACCTCTACGATATAGTAGCTTAATCTTCAGCCACATTTTCACCCCCCCCTTTCCCAACTTAAGGTGATGCTGAAAGTGCTCACAGTTTTGTTACAGTATTCACGGCACACACTCTTTTTTTCAACGGGCTGTGAAACTAATGTAACTTCATTCGAGATATCAAGTATTTTCTATGTCAGAAATTTGGTACGTTCATTACTATTATCAGGAGAGAAAACTGGAGTGACATCACTGCACATGTTTGACCTGTCATCATGGTACACCGTTGACGGCCAGTTTGCACGAATTCCACGATATGAGAATAACATTTAGAGGACACGTGTAAAACACACGTGTAAAACCAAGCTGAGCGCTGGGCCCCATCATCGTCAATGTCTGCTCCAAACATGACAACCGAAGAAGAAGAAAAAGATATCATACGGAGAAGTGTGTACAGTTCAGTATCTTTTCGTGTCATTTATCTCAACAATTCGGCGAAATGCTAACAATCTGTATGATAAGGCTCTGCCGTGCTGATATTGTAACTTTTATGCATTAATAATTCGACAGGTTAAAAATCTGGCTTTTGTGACTGGCCCTATAATAGTTTTTTGTTGTTGTTGTGCAGCTGTGAAATAAGAAAAAAACAAACAAATTATATTCCTCATTCTCTCCCTTTGCAAGGGCATGGAAAATACCCCATCGTCTTCAATAAACCCCCGCGCTTTCCCTGTTCTGATCAGCGGGAGCGAGACAGGACCAGCAAACGTGAATAACGAAAGGGTTCAAAACCTGTAAACGCTGTTGAAGCATCCGACGAACAGAAAGATGTTTTTTTTCTTCTCTGCAAAGTGAAACTGTATGACATAAGTTTAACGTCTCTATCAACACCATATGGTTATTTAACAGGCGAGTCTTCTGAGTTAACGTCTATCAGTCACCAAAAGGACCAAGCCAAATGAGAAAATCGTGTAAAGGGCCTTTCTCAAGTACACAACGTCGGACTGAGCAAAGGTTCGAACCCACCGAACCCGCACTCTTTCTGACAAAGCCTTCTTTTTCGTTAGTAGTCCTAATAACAACGAAATATTAATGACCGGCGCAAAAATTAAATTTGCTTTCTCTGAAGTTAAGAAATAATAGTTCAACGGCACTCACGTTTATCGTTTCACGTTTTTTAAAACAAGTAGTTTGTTTATTGGACAAAACTATCAGCATGTCAAATCCCGCGCCTTTCCATTAATTTTCATTGACATTCCCTGTCAAAAAACCACTCATCCTGTCCTTTTCCCACGTTTATTTGGAAATACTAGCCAGATTTGTATGAGCAGTTCATTTACTGGGCCTTGTCGAGATTATTTGTAGGAGAATAAGTAGGCGTCCTGATAAGCAGTCTGATTTCCCGAAATACATTCCAGTCGAAAAGTGGGCAAACGAGAATAATAGATTTTAACTCTTACACTACACGACGTAAACATATTCCCAGCTTTGTTGCATCAAGTTTAGTTTG